AACCAGCTGGGAGTACTGGACAGCCAACTGTTTCGTCCTAGTTTGGGACTCTTCAACAGCACGCACCCACCCCAAGGGTCCAAACCCAGGACTTTCCAGTCACAAGGCTAGTGAGCTCGTAGACCATTAAGCCACTGGGACCCGATCCAATGGCCAGCCCATGAATTCCAACTTCTGTCAATTAACGACTGAGGTAGTCAGTGTGCCTATGGAAATGAAAACGAAATCATTTCAGCAGTTCAAACAACTTATTAATCAAATGATGGGGGGGGGGGGGTAAGTAAGCAGAATTTCCCCAGGCTACGATCGACAGATGCAAGCAGACGAACTGATGCAACTGTTTTGCCTTTGAATTGAAAATTAAATCAAGCACATACACATAAGCGTACATACACACACGCAGTGCAATATGTTAACTCAATACACAACCAACACACATACACACACACAAACGAACGAAAATCGATACATCGCATCGATTTTAATTAAGTAGCAGCGAAATCAAATTTCTTTTTTTTTAAACAACAACAATTGACTCTTAACAACACTTTTTTTTGAAAAAAATATAATATGCAATTGCACACAAGTTAGTGTAGTGCAAACACTTTGATTAACTGGACTGATTACAGACATAGAGATTGTTGTTAAAGTATACGCGCATATACACTCTCATCTATGGTAAATTTACTCAAAATCAAATGCACAATTAATTTTTAATTGTGATTTCTGTAGGCATTAGTGGATAAGAGTTCAAATAGAAAAACAGAGACGTTGAATGTGCAATCAAGCTACTAAAAGCCACCAGTTGGGAAGGCAGTGGGATCAGGTTGAATTTCTCCTGAAGCACTGAAAACGGATCCAAAGACTGTAGCGGATATATGCTGATGCCATTATTGCAAACGTTTGGAAGAAAGGAAGGAAGTAAGGACAGGTGGCTGCTGACTGGAAGAAAGGCTCCTATTTCAAACTACCAAAGAAGGGTAACTTAAGCTTACGCAAAAACTGGCGTGGGATAATTAAATGCTTATCCACGTCAAGTCGCGTCATTCTGGAAAGAATAAAAGATGCACTGGTTGCAGAACACCACCATCCAGAAAGAGCTGGGAAGACAAATCATGTTCGGATCAAACTGTAACTCTACCCGTCACCATCGAACAGAGCATAGAATGGCAGTCAAACCTCCACCTCAACTTCATCGACCAATCTGAAAATGCCTTCGACAGAGTTGACTGAGAAATAATTTCATAACTACTTCAACACTAAGGAGTGCAGTACCCCAAATCTTTATCAACCCCATTGATAAACAGCTATTTGACAATGGCACCTGCCAGATGATCTCCGACGGAAAACCCAGCGAAACCTACCTTTGAAGTGAAGACAACCTATTATCACCGCAGATATTCCTAGTTGTGGTGGGCTGGATTATGCGCCAGACTGTGTATGGGAGCAAGGAGACAGGAATAAGCTGGACCGACAAGAAGACTTTACAAGATCTTAACTTCGCGAATGATTTATGTTAAATGTCACACACAAACTCAAAGACTTGCAGGTGTAAACCAACAAACTAGTAGAAGAGGCTGGTAGCGAAGACAGGACTCCAGATGAACATAGAGAAAACGGAGGCGATGAAGATAACCAATCAACCACCAACAGCAACAACAACCAGCATCAAAAGAACGAATTTGAAAGAGATCACTTCCTTCACTTATCTAGGAATCCAGCATCTTCTCAACCAAGAGAGTCGGAACGGATGAAGATGTGAAAGCAGGCCAGAGTTGCAAAGGCACATCAGACCTCCATCATTCTGAAATCAGTATGGAAATCTTCTGCACTAACTCAGCATAAACAACAAGACTCGAATTCTGTTCAACACCAATGTCAACTCAGTCAGTGCTTCTATTTACGTCGGGAACTTGCACTTGAGTCACGAATAGCAGTTCCAACTGGCAGCTGCAAACTTTTATCAACAACTGCCCACTTTTCTGGTTCCATATTGAAAAACAAATGGCCAGTGAGAAAGCATTAGCAACAAGAAACTATGGGGACAAACTAACCAAGAATCTATTTCTCAAAAAGTCTATAGGAGAAAGTGGAAGTGGATTAGGTACACGCTAAGGAGACCGCCGAATGGCATCGCTTGCCAGGTCAGTGCTCGAGTGGAATCTTAATGAAAAACCACGAGTGGGTCGTGTGAGGAGGAGACTTTCAATTTAATGTATCTAGTTGAAAACTGTTAGTACGAATACCTATAGCTTCTAGATGTCTATATACCATATAAACCCAACACTCATAACCATGTGTAGTTGGTTATCAAACGAAGTAGCTTGGCCGACATTTAAATGAACAATGAAGAAAATGGAAATGGGTCGGATGTACGTTGAGGAGACCCGTTGGGTTACATCACATGCCAAATCACTACTCTAGTAGAACCCTATCAGGAAACGATGAGTTGGGAGTCATTTCGAGAGTGACGTGGAGACGATCATGTGAGCAGGAGGAGACAAGAGACTATGGACAACCATGGGGCTAGCTAAAGAGGACTGCAGATCATAGGGTGAAGTGACAATATGCTGTTGAAGCTCTATGTTCCAATAGGAACATTTTTAGTCCCGATGTTCTGGAAACAGAATTAGATATTCTAAGAGAAATTTTCATCCAAAATGGATACCAAATAAGATTCATCGACAAAAATATCAAACCAAGAATTCGGAGAAACGAAACTTTAATTGCGCCAAAAAAGAAACTCTACATGAACTTGGATTTCAAGGGAGATTTAGCAAGCAATATTCTCAAGAGAAGGATCACATCATCTCTGAGAAGAACATTCTTTGCAGCAACGCTAATAATAGTGTACTCCAGTCGCCCACTGATCTGCAGAAGCCTCAAGGACAAGATCACGCATCTGACCACTTCTATGTGCATATATCAGTTCACCTGCTGCTGTGGAGCCAGGTTCATCGGTCGTTCGATGCGCACCTTGTCCAAGAGGATTCAAGAACACTATCCAGCATGGTTGCGAAAAAGCAATAGTGGTGCAATAAGGAGTGCAATAATTGAACACCTGGTTAACACTGATCATTCCATTTCAACAAACGCCTCCTTCAAAATAATCTACAGAGTCAAGAATAACCTATCACAAGCAATACGGTTTCGCCTTCTTTGTATCGCTGAAGCTCTGGCCATTCACATAGAAAAACCGGAGCTGTGCATACAAAAGAGGATTACTCAACCACTTCTGATATCATGGTAACAACTTTTTTGATTTGATTTGATATTATTGATTTTGATGACTTAATTTTGTTTGTTTGCCTGTTCGTTAATTGCTTATGATTCTTGTATATTCATTTAGAACTCTTACGTAATTTCGTATTATCTACTTTGTTCCTATGTGCATCCTGAGTAAAACTCACTCATCAAACTATTCATATTATTACATAACTTCTTTTAACAACTGTTTGTGACAACTCATCACCTTTGTTTCTACCCTAATTTCAATAACACCTAATTTTCTTGACTGATTTTGTATTACGTAACTCCAATTACCAATCTTCACCTGTTTAGTTAAAATAACTATAACCAATTGTATTTTTGTTTGACAAACTTAATGTACACATACATACAAAATAACACATGCATATATTTGCGATTGTACAGCTAAGAAAATGAATTCGCCGCCGAAAAAAGAGACTTCGCTGATCTACGTGTTTTGTTGTTATTATTCATCCTACAACACCACTTCAGGAGGTAATCATCATCAGGGGTCTTTCCATCCAGTTCAAGACTAATGAACAAACAAAGCTGCAGAAATGACATTTGCAACTGCTATCCACCAAGCCAGCAGAACAGTGTCCCATGACGATGTCATATCCGTGGTAAAAACGATGTCTACCCAATCCACACATATTCTGTTGGACATATTGCCATGGAAATAGATGAAACAACATAGTGGCAAGCAAATAATCAGTACAGAGAGGCTTCATGTATCGATGCGCTGTTCACCTGATGTTTGACAGCCAAGAGCGGCTAAGCTGTAATTTATGATAAATGCTTTGCGTTGTCAACGTGTGTAAAGTACTTTTGCAACATTGGCAAGTGCCTGTGTATTTGCACTGAACCTCGAAAGTAAAAACGCTCTAAGTAGACAATAAGTTCGTGTATCTAGGTAGTTTATGTGAATGCTGGAAAATGTATGAGGCATAAGGTCTCCAGTTGTAGAGTGATAGCCATGGGACTACATATACCAACTAGGGTCACCAGCTTTGGAGCCATTAGCAATATAGACCAACAACCAAAACAGCAACTGTGTTTCATTCAGAACCGTACACACATGTTGAATGGACGCATTGTTTAATGAGTGAGCAGTGACTCATTGGTTTTAGGCACTCAGTCTCCAAACCCTTCAGCTAACCTGGTTCCCTAACAGCCAGCTATTATCACTGACCTTCGCACACAATATGTGTTGTTCATTGATAACTGTACGACAATGCAAGAAGTAATTATTTCATTTTTTTCCATTTTTATTCCTTTACGTTCCCAATGGAAAATAGAGGGCTTCAAGCTAGAGTTTCCGTAGCAGTGATGTTTATTTTTACGGGATGGATGGGGTTACTAGCCAGCCTCCTGCCTAACCTTCCCTCTTCCTTACCAGTGTTATTACTGGTTTAGCGAGGTAGAGGAGTGCGTTGATCGGGGACTGAACCCCGAGCATTCTACCGCTGTGCCACCAACGCACATTCATTTATTTATCGAGAACACAATGACTGTTGTCAAAACACTTGTCAAACATTTCCTAAAGTTGGATCACGGAACTGACGGCAGTTAGAGAATCACCACCAATGAATACCACCATACCAGAGGGTACTGGACAATTGTTTCACTCTAGTTTAAAACTATTCCATGAACAAAAAATAATACTGATAATTCACAGTATCAAAGACAATGTGTCATTAACTAGGTAAGAAAAATAAAACTAGAAAATACATACACACTCAATCACTTACTGGGTTCTTGAAGCTGCGATAAAACTGGTTTCATTGAACTTTTATTACGTAATGTTTCCACATTCTCCATATCATTATAATTATTATTATTATTACTATAATCATGATATTTTCTATTTGTATTTCGTGGCTTCGGTTTTGGTCTATCAGACTGATGATCGTTATCTTCGGTTTTATGGGCAGTAGTAGTGGAAACAGTTGACGCCTTCAGAAACATATAACAGGAGAATAAACAAACAGGTATGAATTAGATAAGTTATGGAGAGATTATAAAACCAAAAACGTCGCTTAGAAATATGGCGCATAAGTAAAACATTCTAAAGTTAATGCGTCCCTTATGTCACAAAATAGATATTTACAACAACCCTAAGAATAAAAATCAAAAACGAAACAAACAACGACAGATGACTCATTCTGAAGAGAAGGCAGACATAAAAAGTAAATTAATTTAGAAATTTTTCTCTTGAATGAAGAAAGAATGAGCACATTAGATAGTTGAAGGCAGTCGGTCACAGGAAGCATCACCTAGGTTTCCTGCCACTTGACACTCACTCACTAGTCAACAAGGCGTATCTGCAACTGCCTTGAATTAAATCATATCCCTTCTGAGATTCGAACCCGCGCGTCACCAAACAGTGCCGCAGTCAGAGACGTTACCACTGAGGAGCTATTCGAACTCGCGATTGACCTCATGTAGGACTGTAATGGATACTTTGATTGGACCTAGTGACTTGTGTGATGTATCTAGTCAGAAGGTCAATCGCGAGCCCGAATAGCTAGCTCAGAGGTAACGTCTCTGACTGCAGCACTGGCTGGTGACGCGGGTTCAAATCTCAGAAGGGACATGAGTCTCTTCAAGGTTGCAGATACGCCTTGCTGACTGACTGGTGAGTGCCAACTAGCACGAAACCTAGGTCAGGCGAGGCTTCCTGTGGCTGATTACCTTCAACCATCTAATATCCTCAAATCAATGTATACCGTGATGGCGAGCTACCCAAAAATGGTGGCCACATTGCAAACCTGACTGATAGAATTCAATCTGCTCCAAAGAAAGGACTAGACACATCACACTAGTTACTAGCGTCTAATCAAAGTAAAGAACGAACATATTTGAAGGATAATACGAGCTCGTTTTATTCCGTGGATTCTCTCTCTTCAACTGAGTCGTACATCTCAAATGGATCAACCAACTCCCGACTGAAAATACTTTTTACAATGATTCCAGATTAAAGATAGAAAGCATGGTCAATCCAAAGTCCACAAACTTGATGCTGCCACTGAGACCTATAATGTCAGTGGTGAAATCACCGTGCCATAAACTAGTTAGGTGGATAGGACAAAAGTTAGGACCAAAGCGACAAAAGTTGGTGGCAGTCTACAGTATCAAGGGTTCTTTTCAATCCTGACAAGAATTAGACCAAGTGAATATATATTTCAGACAAACATCTTGTATCATATGATGTTCGTTCACTGTTTACTAGCACACATATCGAAGAAACAGTGAGAATCATAATACCAGCAATCCAAACTACTTCCTCTTCTTGAAAATGAGTTATGAAAATTACTACTTCTTTGTACAAACAATGTCCCGGTCCGATTCAACAAGCAGCCGTACCAGCAAACTGATGGGGTGGCTATGGGGTTCACCTTTTGGTACTGTTCTTGCGGACATATTCATGACTCATCCTGAATAGAAACGAATAAAACCGGAAACAGAGAGAACCACGTGTGTTGACGACACGTTTGTGGTTTGCAACAATATGGATCATGCATCCACGATGTTCGAAAACTTCATTGCACCTCACCCTCACATAGCATTTACAATGGACCATCAACAGGACAATCAGTTCCACTTCCTAGTTCTCAACATAAAAAGAAGAAATAATTGGACAATTGAAAAATCCATCTACAGGAAAGAAACTTGGACTGGCTAGTACTTGAATTATCACAAATTCTGCCCAAGCGGCTACAAACAGAGCTTGATAAGAACGTTCTTCAGCAGAGCTAGGCAGCTGTGTTCAGAAGACAAGATCGAAGAGGAATTCGCAGTCATCAAAAAAAACCTTGTCGAAAATGGATACCCTCGGAAATTCATATCAAAATATGGGAAGGAAAAACCGCCTAAAACGAAACCCGACATAGTTGAAAAGAAACCAGTTATCTGTCTGGCCTAAAAAGGCGAAGTACCCATAAGAAAAGAAAATCGAATTAAAGCTGCATTCACAAGGACATTTCCCGCCGCTACACTCATTCCTCTTTACACAGCAGTATGCTCGTTAACCAAGTCAAAAGTAGATAAATATCCTGCTTAGGTCAACTTGTCAAACTGCATTTACTAATTCACCTGCAAGTGAGGCAGTAAGTATATAGGAAGGACTGAGAGGAGAGCGTCTACTAGATTCTCCAAGCATTTTCCTGAAAGTCTCCGTTTGAAAGGCAGCAAAGTGTTCTCAAGTGGAATCACCAGACACCTAATTGACTGACACAGTGGAAATTAGTCAGGCTTTCAAAATAATCAATACACAAAGAAAGCCACAGTTACTTCGGCTGGTAGAAGTAATTGCCATCAAAAGACTTTGACCCAACCTATGCATACAGAAAGAGGAGGGTGTGACTAATCTCTCACTACCCTACCTGGTAACCATAACTGTTTTGTTTTGCTTGTGTGCTTTTGTGTTTTGTTTGTGTGCTTTTTTGTTTTATTGTTCTGTTGCATAACATTCCAGTCAATCTTGATTTTGATTTTCACTTAGTGACTGACTGAGTTGAACTCACTACTATGTTTCCAAATCTACTTAATTGTTTTGTCTATCTAATAATTTTAATTTACTATTCACCCCCCACCCACCCACCTGAACTCTTCATCAAAATATGTATAAATTCACTCTGTTGTTCTAGCTTGTATTTTGTCTCTAGTCCAGTCCTGTTTTCAAGAGAAATCTGAACTCTACTCACTTGTATAATTACCTGTGCAAATAGTTAATCTTCTAACGCTGAATAATTCGTCTACTTACATCATCCTTGGAATTATGTAGTGCCTTGTACTTTCTATCTGTAAGTCAAAGTCATTGTGGAAACAGTATGCTCAAACACCACTTTGCAGCTTGTAATTCGATTTTATTTAAGATGTAGGCAGTTGAAGAGGATCGACGAAATTAAAACAAGTTCATACTATCCTGTCTGCCAGTATGTTCATTCTCTCTTTATGGAAAATAAAAAAAGGAGCCGGCTGAAAGTAATTTAGAAATGATGGAGAAGGTTTGCACCTTAGGTGGATGATATTAGTGCAGTTGTGAAGTGACTTTATGTTGAAGTCAGCACTGAAGATATTGTGCCTAGGAAGACGGTGAAACGTTGACAACACAACTTCACCAAAACTATTTCCACTTATTTAGTAATAACCCTTATATCAGCTTTCTAATTATAGGAGTACGTCGTTCAGGTAGGTGTAGGTAGTTACCCGGGTTCTAGTAAGAAGTCATAACCAGTGGGGTGCAGCAGTTCGGTTGTGAGGACATTGATGACATTGGCCAGTCACGCTATATCGTGAATTGGCAGAGGTTGGAATTCATGGATAGGGTCCCATTTACTGAATGAATGGTATACGAGCTCATTAGCCTAGTAAAAGGAAGGTCCTGGGTTCAAGCCCTTGTGGTGGGTGCGTGTTGGTGAAGAAGCCCAGACTAGAACGAAACAGCTCTCTAGTAGTCCCAGGTGGTTTACCAATGGTTCTCTGACCGGTGTAAACACCAATGGTGAAGTCCTGTAAATGAACCCAATGTTATCATACACTTCAATCAGCAAAGTTTCAGAAACACTGACAAACTTTAAGCTGTAAAATAATAAAAGTTCTTCTCATAAATGAATCTGGAGTGTGGAATTGTGCTTTGTTGTTGCTGAAGGACAAATTTTTGTTTTTGATGATAGCTTGATTCCACAGAATACTTTTGTTAGAAGTATGGAATTTTCAGCAATGTGGTATCGGTGTAGCCCAAATTTTGCAGGCCGATGAACTGATATCAGGTGTGAGTCGGCAGGGGATCGAACCCCGGACTATGTGCATGGTTGGCGAGAGTCCTAACCGCTGTGCCACCCTATATACACCTACTGTCAATGCTGGTGAACATTGAATGGTTTGTTTGTTCGGACTGGGGAGACAAAGGGCTATCACTGCTTAATTGTGTACCAGTTGCCAGAAAATTGGAGAAATATGGTTAGAAGTATTCTGGAACATTATATGAACGTTTATTTACAGACTTTGGCACTGATTAACCATTGTAAATTTGTTTCGTTATCGGTTGTAGAATAAACAATCGTGTGTTGCCCGATCGTTTTCTGTTGGTCTTCGTCGGTTACAGTACATAGTATTCTGCGTATTAGACTTAGGTCCAGGATCTTCGCGATCTGGATATGTGACACTTACCTCCATTCGATTGGCTTGAACAAAGCAAGAACGAATACGCAGATTTACAGACAGGATGAAAAGAGCTTCCTTTTTGATTATGTCATGACGAATAACAGCCCAGAAATGACATACTCCAAAATTATCTCAATCTAAACTGCATAGTAGTGAAAAATGACATATTGAACAGAAGTAAGTTTACAGCCTATCAATAATCAACCAGAGTTTATTTCTTTTTTTGTGCACAAAGTGTGATAGTAAGTTCGAAAGGAGAGAGAGAGAATGCAAGTGAAAAGATGTGATAAATAAACTGAGAATTATTACGTCATTAAACAGTTAATTGACAGATTAGTAATGAGTTCAACTCAGAGAGTGAAAATCAAAAAAAGAGTTGTGACGCAACAAGACATTTAGTTACCAGGGTAGTGAGTCAAAAATTAATTTTTTTTAATGATTGTCACTCCCTGAGTTGAACTCAGTGACTGAACAATTCAAAAATTAGTTGGTGGTCATTTTCAAATTTAAGCACCATATCTTTTCACTCTCACCCTCATCTCTCGTAATTTCCATTATATGATGTATAAGTAGACATTAGCAACATTAGACATTATTCCACTTTTTCTAGGATGCCAACAGTTAAAAAAAGTCATGAAATAAGAAATAAGCTGTTTTTACCCTGTCTGCAAATAATGTATATTGCTCTTGTTGTGCCCACTCTCCCATGTCCCGACCGATAGCTACTACCTCAACGGGGTGGTCGGGTTTGTAAATCCCAACGGCACAATACAAGTTACACTGGCTGAAACGAATGTTCCTCCAGGTCCTATACTATGACGAAAATGTCATCTGGATAGCTGTCAGACTAAAAGCAGTTATAATCATAGTGTAAATTGCTCACACGATGTTGAGGACCTCTGTAGTCGAAGTCGAACTCCTGGTTGATAGGGGACAGGAGGCAGCAGTAAAGTGTTCCTTCCAGGAAACTAGCATGCTAGGTATGCTGTCAATCTTCGACACTTGCAAATGCGTCCATCGGTTAGTTTATTGAGTTGATTTGTTGGTGCAAATACATAGGTTGTAAAGAGACAGACAGAGGGAGAGACAACTGTGTACTCACACAATCCAGTATTCGCCCAAGTGGCTGAGAAAAGGCCAAGGTAAGATACCAAATAGTTCGTTAATACAGCATCTTATAGACTACGGGCATGACACTGACGCTGTCAAGCCATTCACTCACTGCTGTCAATTAGAAGACAAAGACAAAACGCAAAGATGCTTGCATTTGCAAGGGCCTGTGCAAGTAAAGTTTATAGACCCAAACCTCTGTGTACTGAAGGAAAACGGCGGCCAATTCAAATCTACTATGCTGTTAATATTTAATAATATATTTTACTTTATTCACTGTTACTAATACTATTTTGTTTTATTCCATCTATTATTTATCTTATTCCTTTAATTTCGAGTGGAACACAGGGCTTCAAGTTAGAGTTTTGAAGTTTCCTCGTCTGTCTATCGTCCACATAGAACTTTGCACCAACGTGCAGCAGTTCAAGTCGCCACACTCCATGTAGCACACAAAGCAAGAAAAGAAAGTAGAAGAAATGCATAATAGAGATAGTGGACAGGGATATGAGACAAAAGAATAGTAATAACGAAGAACAATATAGTTTCATTGGGTATTATAAATTACAAGGAGTGGATGTATCTGCACCAGCCATCACCGAGAACGATTTTGAGCCATATCACCAATTGTCTCCAGCCTACATTGGTGTTTACCGTCCCGAGGACCCCAACCAGCCAGTCAGGAAGTCTACACCTTCCTACGTGGCTTAAACTAACTGTTGGGGATTTCATTGACTGGTGCCATGTTTTGGTTTGACCACCGTTGGCTGTTTTCCAGCCTGACCCTATGTCAGCTAACATTGGCTGGGCATACGTGACACATGTCCTAACCATCTCAGTCGATGTAACTTCACAGCCTCGTCCATTGATTTTCCCTCCCGCCTACCTAGCACTCTACGCCTAACCTCAATATTGCTCACCTTATTATATCACTTCACACGGGAGATAGAACGCAGACACTTATGATCAAAGACAGCTAATCTTTTCATGTCTTCCGCTCTCAATGGCCAGGTCTCACAGCCATAAAGGAGGACAGAACGGACGGATGAGCAGTACACACGCCCTTTGGTCGATAGCCAGTCGGATATCACGTCTACGCCAGAGACGGCGTAAACTGGCATATGCGAAACTAGCCCTCTGTATCCGTCGTGAGATTTTGTCAGCAATCAACCCGTTGGCGTTGGCTGATGCAACTTCCCAAATAAGTGAATCGGTCAACGTGCTCTACCACTTCACTCTCTATTTCTAAGCTAGAAGTCAGTGTAGTTCAGTCCTCTAACATCATCTTACATTTGGCGATTCGCACGCCAAACATTCGTAGATTGTAGCTCAAGGTGTTCAGAAGACTCTGCTCTATTTTGTCATCGTCTTCACTTAGGAGGCAGGACTATATCATCGGCATATTCTAAGTCAACGAGACTATTATTCCCCGGTTTCAAGTCAATCCTTGAGTCTCTGAAGTGGGTTAGCATAGGTTTAATACTTTACGGAGTGGAGTTGCTAGCCTCACAATCAAATATTCCCTCTTTACCGGTCTTACTAGCGGCTTAGCAAGGTTCAAGAGTGCGCCGGTCGAGAGTCGAACCCCGAACAAAGTGTGGCGTGGTTGGCGAGCATTCTACACCACTGAACGATCACCGACGCACCATCTATTATTATTATTGTCTAAATTAAAACTATGTTTAGTGAATGTCATTCATTACCTTAACTCGTCTCATTAATATGATCATCATCATTATTATTACTCACTTTTCAGTATCGAATGACGTAACGAAACCGTAATCCACCACAGTCTTAATTTTATATCTAGCATACCCTTCCACCACCCCCAGTGAATTTAAACTTGACCTGTAAAACATTTTGACCTTTTACTACGTTTGTTTCATATACTTATGTGGTTTACTAATTAGTCATATATCGCCTAATGTTTACTTCTCAGTATATGCATATATAAACTGTATATGTGGAGTATTGAGCTGAATTCTACAGAAATCTATTAACAACATTTGTTATTTGTTCTTTTCAAGTTTCTAAACAGGGAAATAAACGTCGCCCCAAAAAAAACAAAAATTCCCTCGGATATGTAGTCAACTTCATACTAAACAACCCCGCCTAGTTTACTGAGCTCGCTAATTTCCTAGCCGGTCCAGAGCCTAGGAAAACAGGGAGGGGTTGGGCGTACGGTTAGCGACCCTACCCAAGAGAAAACAAATCAAACTGCTACAGAAACTTCAACGCACAAGAAAAGCATTAGAAATGCAAAACATAATAAAAAAAGAACTTATTCTTCGCTGGAATCAGAGAGGCGAAATGACACGGTGGGTTGGTTAAAGCCTTTTGGAAGCCAGTCAGTCAGTCGATGTATCTTCTTTCAATGAAAGCGAAAAATAAAAATGGTGACGTGGAATGTTCGTACAATGTATGAGACTGGCTGGGAAGACTGCCCATGTAGCCAAAAAAATGAGAAGATGCGGTGTAGAAGTGTTCGGAATCTGTGAGAGCAGGTGGAACAATAGATGTAGACTAGCCAAGTCATCAACTGGTGAGTCAGTAATCTACCCTGGTCACCCAAACAATCACAAACACACTGAGGCAGGGAGTGGCTATCATGATGTCACTAACAGCAGCCCAAGCTCTTATGCAGTCGGAACTAAATTGGGTATACGCTGAGGAGGCCGTCGAATGAAATCGCCTGCAGTGCAGGCCATTACTCAAGTGGAATTCCAGTGGGGAACGACGAGGGAGTCGTCCGAAGGTGACATGGGGGAGATGGGAGATTATGGGCAATCTTAAACCCAGCTGAAGACGACAGCAGAAAATAGAGCAAAATGAAAACGTGGTGTTGAAGCCTAATGTTCCACTCGGAACCCAAAGGAATAATAACAATACTAAACGGCACTGCCAGTCGTAACCGTCAGAGGAAGCACAGCGAACTCACGGTATAAATAAAGTATTTTGATTTACTTACAACGCTTCTATCGTATTCATATATAATACTGACCACTTACACTGTAGTGAGAAGCACAGTAAATAGAAAGCAGCAATATATATATATATATATATATATATATATATAGTTACTAGATGACTGCAGGTAATCAATAAGAAGCCTAGTCTAACCCAGGTTTCGTGCCTGCTGGCACTTACCAGTCAGCAAGGCGTATCTGCAATCTTTAAGAAACTCATGTTGCTTCTGGAATTCGAACCCGTGTCTCACCCAGAGCTGTAGTTAGGGTTGTTACGCTGAGCTATTCGGGTTCGCGACTGACCTCCTAAAAGAACTATATTCGAGGCTTTGATTAGGCACTAGGTAGACCAACAAATGTTATGCGTCTAGCACACTTAATGTTGCTGCAAACTAAATTCTATGACATTCAAGAAAGGGATACAAGTTCCTTTAAGATTACCAATGAATGCCAACAAGCATGAAATTCAAGTGTCCATGGCTTCTTTCCGATTACCTCCAATGATCTTGCAAGATAGGAAGCCCTGCCTTACCTATCTTGGTTTCGAGCTTCTTGATACTTGTCTACAGGAAGCTCCTTAGATTCAGACTCACGTCACCAATCGGTGCTACAGTCAGAGACCTCCTGTAGGTATGTATAGGATACTTTGACTTGACTTGTAAATTTGACCGATAGAATTCAATCTGCACCAAACAAAGGGTTAAACGCATGGCACACTAGTTACTAACTCGTGTTCAATCAAAGTAATATTTATGTAAATATATATATACACGGTAAGAAAACATTGAAGAAGTATTTCAAAGCCTAAAACTCACAGAATCCGATGTCACTTTTACTTGTTCTACGGCAACATCCCCACCACCACCACCACCATATTCTCCATCCGTAGTACCACATTCAGATGGAATATTTGTATCTTTTATCGAAATCCGCTCTATACTATTAGCCATACTTGAGGAAATTAATGCGTTAGACTCTGGCAACTCATTGCAACTCATAATTGCACCATTGCATTCTTTGTGGCTTTGTGCTTTGTGTACCAAAGTTAGTTCAATACTCTGATCACTATAAAACAAATAATAAACAAATAAATATTTGAAGGAAGGAAGTGTTAGCATACTCAACAAACTTAAAAATCAGACAATAAATAAATAATTAGTCGGCGTCATCAAATCAAGAAGAATTAGTTACGCAGTTTAAAACATTTTGTAAAACAAGTATTGCTGAGTGACACAGTTAACATCAGAGCTACGGAGTAATCGATGACGAATGGAAATAAAATGCCGGTGTTCCTAGTTAACCGCGTTTTCAAGCTGTTTAGTTGTAAATCAAGTTAAAAGGGAATACAATATGCCTTCTGACGATCTGTAGACACCATAATACATACAGACAGATATTTAGAGAATGGATGAACGAAAAAGTCAAGGTTTTTCGTATAATAATTGTCGTATGACCAATAATACAGGTATCTGTTTAATTAAGAAAATCAGTTCAAAGAACTTTTAATGCTGGCGAACTACACGTCTTATTCTGTCTCCAAACGACCGATGGTGATTCCTCGACTGAAAGGTGAAGTACCTAGACTAGCCACTTCAAATTGTATCTACTAATTCAACTGCGCTCGGTGTGGAGCGAGTTATATTGACTGTTGTTCTAGAAACTTGGTTTTTCGTGCTCGCTCGGGAACATCTCCCACTATGGCTAAATAAAGGTGTAGTGAAAACCATTAACAGTTCGATATTGTACCATCTGGTGCAAACCGGCCACAAAGCCAGCGTGTAAGAATCCTTCTCTGTCATCTATCGGGTGCCTAATAAAATTGCCAAAAACATCGAAGCATCGCATGGTCCAAACAAAAGAAGCTATTGCAATTCGCCTCAAACAACCAGTGCTCTGTGTTCAAATGAAGCAAGTCCAGCCCCTACTACTGCCCCGGTTGGCCTTCAGTGGAGACTATAAATTCATGAATTTGTAATACTTTCTTTCCTAATTTTTCTGACATTCAGCTTATTTTATGTTGATTCTATTGAGCTGTAATCTATCAATATTATTGAGTCGATGTTATTTAAACAGCATTAATGTTGTTCATAACACTAATTCATTTATTCATTCACTATAATGTATGTATAACTGTAGAGCCTGATGATGAAGAGGTTATCGAAAAGAGTACTCTTCGTTCAGCATCCATTCTTTTGGAAATCTCTTTATGAGCCAAATAAATACAGTATCCCATGTTTTAAGTATATTTGAAGTACAATATGGACAAATCCTACTATTGGCTTCTGAAATTGACTGATTTTGTCTGTACGCTGAGGTTTCGTAGGTAAATAAATCACTAGTACCATTTTTGCTGAACAAATATGCCAAAGAAAATAGAGATGGATCGAACACACACTACTAAGGTGATTGTCCAACGATATTGCGCACGCCACACTATTGCTCGTGTGGAACCTAATTGGGAAACAGTGAGTTGGGCGTCGATCTGAGGGTGACATATAGAGGAAGTCCTGTGGCCAGGAGAGAGGAGATGAGAGATCATAGGCAAGTGTAGGACCAGCTGAACAGGACTGAAGAGACTAGGACAAAATGGAGATGTGCTGTTGAAGGCCAGTGTTTCAGTCAGAACCCAAGAGGATAATAATAATTAATGCAATCTTTATTCTCGTCTCTGGTGTAGACATGATATCCAGTTATCGACCAAAGGGCGTGTGTACTGCTCAACAGTCCACTCCGTCCTGATTTATGGCTGTGAGACCTGGCCATTTAGAGTGGAAGAAATGAAAAGATTAGCTGACTTCAATTATAGGTGCCTGCATTCTATCTCCCGTGTGAAGTGGTATAATAGGGTGAGCAATATTGAGGTTAGGCGTAGAGTGCTAGGTAGACGGGAGGGGAAATCAATGGACGAGGCTGTGAAGTTACATCGATTGAGATGGTTAGGACATGTGTTACATATGACTAGCCTAGCCATTGCCTTCCTCGACGACCAATGTTAGCTGACATAGGATGGATCAGGTTGTTGGAAAAGAGCTAGTGGTTTGTGGTCAAACCAAAACATGGATTCATCAGTCAATCAAATCCCCAACAGTTAGTTTAAGCCACGTAGGAAGGTGTAGACTTCCTGACTGGTTGGGGTCTTCGGGACGGTAAACACCAATGTAGGCTGGAGACAATTGGTGATATGGCTCAAAATCGTTCTCGGTGATGGCTGGTGCAGATACATCCACTCCTTGTAATTTATAATACCCAATGAAACTATATTGTTCTTCGTTATTACTATTCTTTTGTCTCATATCCCTGTCCACTATCTCTATTATGCATTTCTTCTACTTTCTTTTCTTGCTTTGTGTGCTACATGGAGTGTGGCGACTTGAACTGCTGCACATCGGTGCACAGTTCTATATTGAAAACAGACAGACAGTATGAACGCCATGCGGCAATGCGATCGATGAAATAATGTAAAACTCGGTGTTTGACGGTACACAGTAGGAATCCTTGGCTTCATGCTTTATGCTGATCAGTACTCGGCCAACGAAGTTCACTTGTATCTCGTGTTGTTTTCCTCGATTTAAAGTCAGTGAATTATACTAAATTAATAATAAAAGTTTGAAAAAGCATTTAACCCAAATAGTAGACAAGGGTGTCGTTGTTTCAGATGTGGTTCGTCAGCTTAAGCAAACTTGATTACCAGTCAATAAGTCGTGAGTTCTGATCCCCGTCAACCGAATTCAGTCTGCTCAACTGAACAGTATCATTAATTTTGATATACTAAATGTGGCTTATAGCTTGGTGTATGGAAAATGTATTCCATTTCAGTGAATTCTTAATAGTTCCCTTGATAAGTTTATCGAATCCCTATCGAATCGACAGAACACAATTACGACTGTAACAGAGGGTGTGAAGAAAAAACCAATCCTAATACCTAAAATCTAGAACAATACATGATAGCAAACAGCAAAAATATCCAAGTAACACAATCTGTTTTAAGTGATTTATGATAACCAGATGAACTTGCAATGTGTGTTTGAACAGATTTTTCATTTACAAAGCTATGATATGAGCCATAGTCATATGGAGACTAGTGATTCTACTCAGTTCCCCAAGTTGAAGAAGGCGGGGAGGGATGTTAACCCCGGGTTGATGTGCTGAAAGCTGAGTGCTTGCTTAAACCGATTACTTCAAATGTCTGTCCAGGTAGGATGCGACGAAGCCCAATGCTCTACCGACTAGGAGTAACGTGACTCAACTACATGAGTAATGTTAACATTGAATATGAAGAAGTACTTTTACTTTAAATCCTATACTGTTTTACTGTCAGTTACTACACTTACGACAATCGTTATTATGCAACAAACAGACGATTTAACAGGAGTACATAAAATATTAGTTTTAATGCAATACAGAGAATAAGTCTGTTTTAGTTGTACATATTGTCAATATGGAAAAGCAGTGTACTAGTATTAGTATTTTTCATAAAACATGCTATGAATTAAAAAAAAAAAAGTAACATACCTGCCACTTCGTAGAAAATTGGAGACTTCTAAGAAAGTCATAGACTTTACAGGTTTTTGATTTATAGCAATAATCTGATCACCAGCTTTCAAACCGGATGCTTCTGCTGGGCTGCCACGAGCTACTCTACTTACAATTGCTGTCGATTCATATGGTTTACCTATTGAGAAAAGCATACCATTAGATTTAAAGAAAGGAATGGAGAAAGTACTTCGAAATTAACAAAAGAAAAAACAACAGAGACGGGTTGTGACGTCGGTGGTTCAAAAGTGGAATGCTTGCCACCAACCATGTATGTGGCCCGGTTTCGATTCCCGGTCAACACACACTCCTAAACCTCGCTTAGTCAGTCGTGGTAAGACCGGTAGAGAGGGAAGGCTGAACCTGAGGCTAACCAACCTTAATCCCGTAAAACAACACCACCACTACTCGGACTTCATAGAGCAAGCAAGCATGATGCCCTCTATATTCCAAGACCGAATGCAAATGAATGAGAAAAAGTGAAACGTTGGAACAACCTAAGAACTGCGACTCCACTAGGGGAATGCGGCCAAAAGAGAATGACACACTTGTTCTGCTAAGAAAACCACTACTGTGCCTATTCTGTGACATATCGAAAACACATTCAAACAGTCAGCTAACCCAAAACTCACAAAAATTCTCACTTGTGTGATAGTATACTAAATTAACATGTCGTGTTAATGCATTTAAGCTAATATAAATAAATACCTGGTACACTACTACGGAAAGTTCAAGTACTGTCTAAGATTATTGCAGTAAATTCGAAAAAAGAGTTACATGAACACAAAATTCAACAAAATGCAAAAGTACTATAAAAGTTTTAGCAAAAACCATCTTATTCACCCAAACAATTAAGTTTTCAAATGAAAATACGCTTCACATCAGACTGGTATAATCCCTAACGAGCCAACTGCGTGGTTTTAAGAGTCAAGTACAAGGATATGAAAGTAGATATTGGGCAGAATTGGCCTGTTGATCGAGTTTGTCTGGGTTTACTATTTTACCGAGAACGTACTCTATTATGTTATGTACCTCGTCTGCCCTGTGTTAGCTGCATTTGTGCCAGTTGTTCCATTGGTGGTCTAACGTTGGCCTATATTTCTGAGACTATTGAGCCTTTGCTCATACTCATATGGTTCACCTGCCCTGTGTCTAATGCGCACACTCGGGAGGACGGCCATCCAATCTTGTATCTATAGTGTCTATCCGACTGGACATTCCACCACTAGTTGCTACAAATGGCACAATAACTGTGATGAGGATCAATCTACCGTGATCTCACCTTCATAAAATTCGACAATCTGTGAGCAGGATAATACTTATCACTTTATTTCGTTGGCAACTGGCAACTGCATACAACCAAAGTTAGGTAACTAAATAGCATTCTTACATATCATTACCCTGTCTAGTTACGTAATATTAATGGCCTTCATGCTAAATAACTAATGTTGCACTCAGCTGCATCTCACATCATCACTGGCGTAGATGCAGTATCCGGTTATTGATCAAGAGACGTGAACACCACACAGGAGTTTACTTCGCCCTTTCATATAGCTGTGAATCATGGTCATTGAAAGTGGAAAACATGAAGGCATTATCCATCTCTGATCACAGATATTTGCATTCCACTTCCTATGTTCAGTGATATATAATGGGTAATATCGAGGTTATGCATAGTGTTAGGTGATGAGGACGTGTAAACCAATTAGGTAGTGCATCTACATCGATTGAGAGGGTCAGAAATCATACCAAGCCTTGCTCCTCGAGTAATGTTAGCTAACATCCGAATGGGTTAGAAGAGTTAGGGGTAGTCAAACTCAAATTTCATAACAATAGGTGAAGTCTCCGACTGTTGGTTTCAGCCAATCACGTAGAGAGGTGTAGACTGCCTCGAGACGCTAACAACCAATGGCCTAAATATTGTTGGTGGTATGGCTTAAAATCCTTCCCTGATGGTGCAGATGCATTCACTCCTTGTGATCTCCCTGACTCATTAAATCACCATTATTATTTATGTATGCATTCCTTCTCGAGTACATTTCCAGTCATTATACTTCTTTCGAATATTGATTTCTCTGTCTCAGTGTGTGTCACGAAGTATGGCAACTTAAACTGTTGCACCTCTGAGCAAATCTCTACATTGAAAACTCAGATCAGTTCAGTACGCAGTACGACATAAAGACATGTGCTACAAAAATGACTTCCCTTCAGTGTAATGGACAATGAGCTGAAACCTAAGGCCGTAAAAGTGGGCTTAGCAGGTAAAAGAAATGAAGAAGTACGAGCACAGTTGATTCCAGCACTACAACAAGAAAACTTTACAGATTCATAAAGTCAGTCATGGAAGTTTTGAATAATCTAAGAAGCACTTTCAAGTGTTACTAGCTTGATGATATATATATATATATATTGCCATGAAATAACGTTTACAGTCAAGATCCCCCTTCAAGAGACAATACTAAGAATTCGGTAGTGTGATTCCTGAGGTCAAGATAAAAACTATCAAATAGTAATTAGCTGTTTCAAGATCACAAACAACCCCAATAGTGATAGATTTTACCACAAACGAGGAAAGAGAAGGCATTGTGACATACTCGCCTCAAAAGTGACATAAAGAAGAAGAAATGAAGATAACATATCCACAATTTTGAAGACAGAAGACACACAGCCCGATCTATTTGAGTTTGAGAATGATAAGGAGACATCCATAAGGAAAACAACGATCAAGAAGAAGCAAAATAATGGTTAAGAAGCCACTATCCACAAAAAGCCCCTACTTGAGTAAACACCTGAACTTTAGGTCATCGCATTCTTTGTTAGTTAAAAGAGACTAAGCAACATTCAGGTTATACATCAAGATGACCAGTAAAACAGAAATCATCCAAAAAGAATTGAGATACAAACACACCCTTTAATAATCTTATCCAGAACTATTTTAAAAACTTAGCAGACAAATTAGGACGATAAATAATTGTAGCACAGGAATACGAGAAATCCAACAGTAACACACAAAGGTTACTCACAGTAAAGACACTGAAGTGCGCTGCACATCAAAAGCTAACTCAGAAATAGTAATATCTAGGGCCTACAGTGCAAAATAATCCGATAGCGTGCAACAATCGAGATACAATACATAGGTCGAAGTGGTAAACCAGAGTCCATTCGAGGAAATCAATATTGATATACACTTTAAACTACAGAAAAGTCCAGCTACTATGCTGTGTGCAACAATACAGAACTGCACAACAAGGAGGGAAATAATGAAATCCTCAAACATAATTTAGAACCATGGATAAGATTTGTAACTGAAACATTATTTATCCAATCATTGACACCCAATTACTAGAGAAGAAACAGAGGAAGCCCTGAGATGTTCACTTTAAACTACTCTTAAACTGACCACCACCTACATCTCGACAAGAAATACCACCAACAGCAATAGAATTACCAGTGAACATAAATTCTTCAACATCAACCGAAAACCCGGAAAGCAGCATGGTCACATGGAATTCCCCCAGAAGCACTGAAAACGGATCCAGAGACCACAGTGAATATCTTCACACTAATATTACAGGAAAAGTGCAAGGAAAGGTACCTCCCGATTGGAAGAAGAGCTACCTTTCCAAACTACCAAGGAAGGTGACTTAAGCCTTTGCATCAACTAGCGTGGAACCACGCTCTTGTTATCCCCAAGTGAAATACGAGGTTACATCATATTTGAGAGACTTAAAGATGCTCTGGATGCTTCGGAACAAGCTGGGTTCAGGAAAGACAAACCATTTGCCAACTAGACAGCAATACTACGCATCATCATTGAATAAAACAGAATGGCTGTCAAATGTCTACCTCAACTTCATCGACTTTGAAAAGGCCTTCAACAGCGTCAACCGACGTCATTTGGAAATTGCTTTAACACTATGGAGTGACCCAAACCTTTATTAAGCTGATTCAACAGCTGTATGACAATGCCTAATATCAAGTGATCAACAATGGAAGAATCGGAGAAACCCTTGAAATGAAGATAGGAGTGAGACAAGGCTGCCTACTGCCAGTGGTGATATTCTTAATTGTAGTGGACTGAGTCATCCACCAGGCAATGGAGAACGCGGAGGGAAGAATACGTTGAACTGACAGAAAGACCGTAGTTTTTGCTTCGTGAAATATGTATGTCTAACGTCACGAACTCGAAAATGTAAAGGCGAAAACCAACAAGTTGGCAGAAGAGGAGGTTAAGACAAGATCCCAAGCAAATACACAGAAGAAAGACGATGAAGATACTGAACCGACAACAAATACCAATCACCATTTCTAAGAGAAATCACCTCTTTTACTCAACTAGGCATCATCGTCTCTAGAGGTACACATGCGAATGTCACAGGTAAAATCGGAAAAGCAAAACGGACTTTCGTTATATTGAAATCAGCGTGGAAATCTGCTGCATTCAGCATAAAACCTGAATTGTGCAACACTGATGCCAAGTCACAGGCTTGGCACACCATAGACAGCATTTCCTACAAGCTGTGAATTTTCATCAGCACCTGTGTCCACCCGATAATGAGGATCAGATGGTCTCCAGGTCAGGATAGGCAACAAGGAACTACGGTAACGTACCAGCCAAGAACATACTGCACAAATACGCAAAGGGAAATGGATATAGGTTGGTCATACCCTGAGAAGCCCTTTAAGTGGCCCCACACCCTAGGCCCCCAAGTCTAACGTCAATAGGAAACGACTATATGAGTCTCCGAGGGTGACATGGAAATGGTTTGAAGAGGCAGTGAAAGCTTCTGGACAGTCTCGAAGCCTCACTCAAATATAATAACACGAATGAAGCATAACAGTTAATTTACGAGGACAATGACATAATCCACACACCTCTTAGAACAACCGCGTCCTTCCTCAAGCCATTATTAATAATCCATCAAGCAAGCAGGCAAAGCTCTACTATTTATTAAACAAACGTTGCAATATTAATAGCACCTACATATGCTTTGGTGAACTAATAAGGCGTGTTAAAAAATCGACAATCCTATAAACAGCACTTCTGATTCTCACGTGCGACAGTTAAGGCTCAAAACTTTTAGTTTGTGAGTCATACATCCAACTCCTACATCATTTACTTTCACCCGAATAAGCAGACTGTCATTTACAAAAATATGACTTACTACCCGATACAAAAAGACTCCAAAACAAACGATGCTATAACAGTATGTACATAAAAATAAGACGTAAGGATAGTGAGTTTAACGACCAGTAATGGAATAAAGCTTCATGGTACCATCATTCTTCTCACAAAATAATATCCTCTAAACAATCGTCCGCTGTTTTTCAGTTCCCCAAATTTCTCCCAAAATATGGGACTTATATTTAATTCAGAAATGTCAACAAGTAAAATCAATTATGACCACTAGAAGTTCAACCGTACGGTTACGTAACTTCTGGAAAACATGAAGGAAGTTATTTTCGTCAACATGCTTGTGTAAACAGGACTTCGAACAAAAAACTAACGAAACCATCCAGTTTCAACTGACATTAATGTGAAGGTCATTCAAGTGGTGAGTTCGGAAACGTTTTCTAGTGCTGTACTACACTCACCTTCGTCTCTTAGGGTAAATCCGACTCCAAATGCGGTTCTCTTAATTGTAACAGATACCGGTATATCCATTGTGTTAAAATAGTCTCACTTTGACATTATGAATGACTTGATTTGCTTTCAAAATGCTTTGAGTTTAAGACGTCCACCCTTCATGTGTAAAGTTAGCGCCAAACATACAAACTAAACAACCCGCTTCATGCACTCTCCATCTGTTTACATGTGGTTAGCACAACTTTCAAAATTCTGAAGCGAAAATGACACGTGAGACACGAATATACTATTGATAAACTTGTGGGGATTATATTCGAACAGTAAGAGGTGACTCCAAACTATTGCAGCCCAAAATGAAACTACCTCCAACGACCAATCAAATGAGTAAGAAGCAGAAGTGAGGAATTTGAAATAAACGTCTATATACAAGTAAAGGACTATCGAAAAGTGGTTACATAAAATAGTATCCCTTTATAAGCTCCAAGAATACCTCTCAGTTTCTCAGAAGAGTCCTCATAGTTGAGTAAAACCAATTTCGGCACATAAATTCGTCAAGGTCATCAATCTGTTCATTAGGTAGTTTTCTTTTGGCTGCTATAGTTTAGAGTCCCCCAGCAAGAAGCCCTATGAGATGGTTACCGATGTGATGTGTTTGTGAATATTAAAAAGTGCACAATAACACTTTTATTCGTAGAAATCACTGATTAGACTTCATATAGAAAAATGTAGTGTGCATGAAAAATAGGGATGAGAAAGGTAGGAATTTCCTTCAAATTCTTAGAATTCCGCTTTATATAACTAGTCAGCTGCATAATTCTAAAGCAAGGATAACAAGGTGAATATTATGACATGATGTCTTATTAATTAGCTGATTATTTTCAGTTACAAACAAAGTAAAATCATTTTAATATCACTGTACGAAAATAACTCGTGCTCCGGTTATCGAGCATGGAGGTGAAGTTCATCAATAATCCAACAGCATAGTCGCCGTATCACCAGCTGTTAAATAGATTTAATCAAAATCATATATTAATAACGAAACTTATCAATCTCTCCTTGCAGTAGCGAAAAGATTTTGCATCACTTTTGTTTCGCCTACCTTTCGCCATTTTCATCATAATTCGCTCTGAAAGTGTCATTTGATACTCTTGATTTTCTCTTAATCTATACCCTCAACCGTCGCGCTGATATTCGTTCAAATAGATTGGGTACCTTCGTCAGGCTGCATCTGGTAAGCAGATTTTTCTGATGACCATTGGAGATGCCCATCGTCTAGGAAATCGGATGTCGATGCCTATGATTAGTTAACATTAGTTAACACTCGACGATACTTGAACTGCTGCGCTACAGGTGTTCAGTTTGTGCGTGAATCATCTTTCCTTATTATTTTGGAAATTAGCCTCTTTCCTCACATTATCCACATATCCATACTTAACAAGGATTGTGTGGTATCATCTGAAACTACATATAGTATTCACTCGTGAAATCTACAACCCGGAATCTTCTGATACCCTCTCTAACCACGTGGAACTCAGGATTTTATCCACAGCAAGCACTGTAAAGGAAAGTCTGACTTTTCATTTTGCAATATATCTGTTTATCGTAGTTGTTTTGATACTTCGATAAAACGGCTATCTTTTTTATATCCTCAAGACTTTTTTTCCGGAAATTGCGAAAATTCTTATTTCTGTAATGGTTAAGTCAATCAAACGTGTAAGTGCCGTTAAGAGACTGGGATCTAATGCTCGTCAACCATCTGAGGGCCTCAGTTCCGTTGACGATTCTACACTTTTGACACCAGACACACTCAGAGTTATGGTATCTGATATCATGGGTGAACTGACAGAGAATGCAGCTTGTAGCATAAATGATTTACTGATACTTCAGAAGTCAATGGCAGACCTACAGAGCAAGTTTGACAGCATTATGCCCCTCACGCAATTGTGTGACCCATCACAAAACATCCGTCTTGAATCACTTATCAAATCCGAGCGCAGAATTGACTGTTTGGCTGAAGAAGCTGTTAAGAGGATTATGTCTTCACATAACGTCTTGGCCTATAACATTCCAGACAGAGAGCCTATTGCCAAACTTAAAGCTTCGTGTCTGAAGGCTTGTAATATGCCATTGACAGAATGTTAGGTTTTGAGTCTCCGTAAGAAATCTGCAAATCACTCATGTCCGGTGCTTTTCAAGTTCAGGTCTATTGAAGAATCCAGGAATTTTCTGAAAGCTGGCAAGATAATAGGCTCTTCAACACCCTACACTAACATTAAGGTTGCACCTGATTTAACACCGTGCCAAAGACGATGCCGCTCAGGAACAGTGAATACTGATAACTCTAATAGGACAACTGTAGATGATGTTCCATGTGTTATTCCGTCGACTGAAAAACCTGATGACCGCATACATCAGACATTTTCTCAGGCGCAGACTAACATTAGCCAAGTATTATATAACGACACTGATGCTGACACTGAAATGGTGGACATAGATGAGTCAACGGAACATAATGTTGAAATACATCGTTTTCACACTGACACAAACGTCAAGAGCCCGAAACCATTAAAACCCATCCCACTGGTGTTCCACCCATCCCCTTTTAAGTCAGTTACTCCTCAGTCTGACAATCCATCCACCGTGAAGCACCAGTCGAACGTAGCTACCCAAGTTAGCAAGTTTTCTAGGAGTTATGACAAACTCCCATTTCCGTTAAGAAAACTAAAGCGCATGAGGTGTCCAAGCAACAGAAACCCTACATAGCATGTACTGGCTGCCCCGTTAGCCATAATCAACCAGTTGATCATAAGAAAAGGGAAAAAGAAGTAAATAAATTAAACGCTGAACCCGTAGTAAGAAAGCCCTTTGATATGATAGAGACGAAAACACCTCTGAGCCATCATTCTAAGAGAAAGTCAAATATGGTAGACCTAGCTCCTAGAGGTAGGCCTAACTGGTGTCAAGTAGAAAGCCGATAATATCCTACCACTAATTCTAGATAAACAACACAGCGAGGTAGTAGGTATTATTCTGCTCATCCACTACGTAAATCCATTGTAAGCCAACCCCCTTCTAATGTTCTATGAACTGAAAGTTATAGAAAATCCCCCAAACATCGGCCACAGAATATATTTAGCAAGCCAACAGAACCCACTCATACATCCTATGTATCTAGTAGGGAGCATGTGCCAATTTATGCACAAAACTTGCTATGGTTTGATGACTACCCAAAACAAATACCAACACTTCATTCTTGTACTGGCAACAAATTACCGAATACTCATATCGGTTATACTTTCGGGCAGGATTTTCACCAGCGTCAGTTAACAGAAACACCTGGCATCATGCATATAGCACTCATGATATCAGATCAATTCCTTGCCGGCATAGCGAACAGCCTACACCTAGGGCAAGGCATATTTCCTGGGAGATAGCTGACACAGTGTCGACACCAAATGAGTCTAATAACATGCAGATTATTTTTTTTTTATTTTTTTTTTTGGTTATAGCTTGAAACCACACAGTATTTTTGGTACAAGTATGGAATTTTCAGCATGTGATATCGGTAGCCCAAATTTCGCAGGCCGACCATAGATATCGGGTGTGCGTCGGTAGGGGATCGAACCTCGGACCATGTGCATGGTTGGCGAGAGTACTAACCTCTGTGCCACCGACGCACAGATAGAGGATACTCATGGATTATATTATCAAGATGTTGTCCACTCAATGAAACCACATAACCAGTGTTTATCTATTATCCTAGTAAATACGAGATCCGTTCTAAGCAAACACTTAACACTCAGTACATTAGCTTCTATATGCAGACCGTCATTGATTATGATCACTGAAGCCTGGTGTACGAGTGATACCTCCAATGATAGCCTAAGAATTGATAAATACAACCTTTTTCGGGGAGACAGACAGAGAGGTCGTGGGGGTGGAACACTAATTTACTGTGAACAACCCTTGTGTGCAACCCAGTTCAGTAACCCAATTCTGTCACGACTCAATGACTCGATCTGGGTTGAAATAAAAGTTGTCAGAAGTAAACCTATACTTGTGGGTTGTGTGAACCGACCCCCTTCATCCTACAGGGAATATGTCAGTATACTCAGCAATATTTTTAATGTTACAGCCAATCTTCCCCACAGTTATAAAATTATCGGAGGTGATTTCAACATGCCAGAAGTATCATGGTCTTCACTCCGAGGACTCCAAAGGTATGATAATCTCCTGAATTCCATCGTCACAGGAGGGTGGACACAACACATAAATTCACCCACTAGATCCGCAAATATCCTAGACCTTATTTTCACGAACAACATAAAACCATCTACAGTACATGTGGGACATGAATTTCCAGGTAGTGACCATAAAATAGTAGTGTGTTCTTTTGACATCTTTCCTGAAACAAAACGCAGAGATGAAGCTGGCCAGACACCTATGAGATTGTACACACATGCTGACTGGGAATTGTATCAGCACCAAATTAGATCTTCTAATTGGGACTCGTACTTTTCGAACGAGTCCTTAGAGGAAATTCTTAACAACTTCTATCAGAATATCAACTCAATTCATGACGTCATTGCACCTGAGAAGATTCTTAGCTTCAGATTCCCCCAAAGCGATTATATTCCGACATCGTTTAGGAGAAGTCTACGAAAGCACTCAATAAAATACTACAGATATCATGACTTGTCATCACTAATTGCTATTAAGTCCCTTCTCAATAGAATTGAAGAGTTGAGAAATATAGGCCTCAGAAACAAAGAAATGCGAGCCATTCAGGCACCACATAACTCAGGAGAAATAGCCAAACTTTTCAAAAGTAGGTTGACGAACTCCAAAACAGCTTATCCTAAAATATTATACTTAGACGGGATTGCTTACGAAAATCCTGAGGTGATATGTGAACTGTTTAGCGAGCACTTCGCCAGATTATACACCTTAGAGAACAATGAGGTCGTGGATTTTCCACGTAAAACAGACGAATGTTTAAGTGACATACTTTTCACCACACACGTGATCGATAAAGCTGTCGCAAATCTTAAGCTTAGTAACACTATTGGTCCAGATGGTATATCTTCCATTCTGCTGAAAAACGGTGGTAGTGACATGAATTTACTCCTACTCAAGTTATACTCAATTTCACTAAGCGATGGGATGTACCCTACCC